GCGAACATCGTCAGTGGCATGTGGATCTTCAGGGTGAAGCGGCCGCCGGGTTCTCCGCCTGTCTTCAAGGCGCGTTACGTGGCTCGTGGCTTCAGTCAGCGGCAGGGAGTTGACTACTTTCAGACCTTCTCCCCCACCCCGAAGATGACCACTCTTCGGGTACTGCTGCACGTTGCTGCTCACCGTGACTACGAGCTGCACTCTCTTGACTTCAGCACAGCTTTCTTGCAGGGCAGCCTGCACGAGGAGATCTGGCTGCGTCGCCCACCTGGCTTCACTGGGTCTTTCCCTCCTGGTACCCAGTGGAGTCTCCGGCGTCCAGTCTACGGTCTCCGCCAGGCGCCACGTGAGTGGCACGACACACTGAGGACTACGCTTGCGGCTCTTGGGTTTGCTCCTTCTACTGCCGACCCGTCGCTGTTTCTACGCACTGGCACCTCTCTGCCGCCGTTCTACATCCTCGTGTACGTCGACGACTTGGTCTTTGCCACAGCTGACACTGCTGGACTCGCCTACGTGAAGTCCGAGCTGCAGAAGAGACACACGTGCACAGACCTGGATGAACTGCGCAGCTACCTTGGCTTGCAGATCACCCGGGACAGAGCACGCCGCACCATTACCCTGACTCAGTCACACATGGTGCAGCAGGTCCTTCAGCGCTTCGGCTTCACGTACTCCTCGCCTCAGGCCACTCCTCTGTCTACTCGCCACTCGCTCTCAGCTCTGCCTTCGGATGAGTCCGTAGAGTCGAGTGGCCCGTACCCAGAGCTTGTTGGCTGCCTCATGTACCTGATGACCTGCACACGACCTGACCTTGCATACCCTCTTAGCATTCTTGCACGCTATGTTGCTCCTGGGAGACACAGACCAGAGCACATGGCTGCAGCGAAGAGGGTGTTGCGCTACTTGTGCAGTACGTCGGGCATGGGGCTAGTGCTTGGAGGGCGGAGTCCAGTGGTCCTCACTGGGCACGCGGACGCTTCTTGGGCTGACGACCAGGCTACGCAGCGGTCGTCACAGGGTTACACCTTCAGCCTTGGTTCCGGCTCTGTTTCGTGGCGGGCTACTCGCTCGTCTTCTGTTCTTGGCTCGAGTTGTGAGGCTGAGATCTACGCCGGGGCCATGGCTGCACAGGAGCTTCGCTGGCTCACCTACCTGCTGACCGACCTTGGAGAGCCGCCTCGTTCTCCTCCAGTCCTGTACGTAGACAACAAGGCCATGCTGGCCTTGTGTCGAGAGCAGCGACTGGAGCACAGAACAAAGCACATTGCTCTCCGCTGCTTCCTTGCTCGTGAGCTACAGCAACGTGGACAGTTGCGGCTTGCGTACGTGGCCTCTGAGGCCAAGACTGCTGATGTCTTCACCAAGGCACTTCCGCCTTGTGATCATCAGCGCTTCTGCACTCAGCTGGGTCTTGTGCCCGTCTTGCCTCACTTGCTCTCCTCTTGACCTTGCTTGTACTCTCACATACATATATACCTGCTCTTGCTTGTCTAGCTTTATATATATGTGTGTACTCTTGCATGTGAACTGGCAGTGTGGCCTTGACCCTGTGCTCGGACTGTGTGGTGACTTTGTGATCCACCCTGAGCTTGTTTTGCTTTGCTTTGCTTGACTGGTCTTGTGACCCCTTGTTCTCCCCCACTTTGCCTATGGGGGTGTGTCAGAACGTTATAGCTTATGCTGTTGTGTAGGCTATAGTGGGGTATCCCATAGGGGGTACAACCAATTAGGGTTTCATATTTGTACTCACTTCATTTTCATAGTTCACTCATTCTCGTTCTCATTCTCACACTGCCTCTGGAGGTGCTGGAGGTACTGGAGCTGGAGTTAGTGGAGCTGGCAGTACTGGAGGTACTATTGCAGGAAGTGAAAATTCCAACTTCGCCCACCTTTCGCCTTCACTGCGAGAAACAGAGCGCCATCAAGATCGCGAACAAGCCAGGTTTCGTGAATCGCACGAAACACATTGCGCTTCGGTATTTTTTCGTCAAGGACGAAATCGACCAGGGGAAAGTTTACCTCGCGTACTGCCCAACCACCGAGATGGCAGCTGATTTTCTCACCAAGCGACTGCCACGTCAGTAGTACAAACACTGCTCCGACCTCACCGGAGTAGTCAAGCGAATCAGCCCCTTGCGCGCCCAGGAATGAAGGGGAGTGTTACAATATGAAGTTACATGAGAAGGCATTCCTGTATGCTGAAGGAGCCGACTCTAACGAGTACGAAGACGAGGAGTCAGAAGAGTCGAAGCGACGCAGCAACCGTCTGATCAAGACCGATGCAGGCAGAAATATTTGAGCTGAAAAGAGCGGGAACATGTTGAAACATGATCCCGCTCCGCACGGTCTGAATTCGTTGTAATAAGGAAATGTACCCCTTAGAGTACATGGCTAGCCTAGGTCTTTTCGTATTCCCTTGCATTCTTATATAAACCCGATGTATGCATGCTATTATCATCTCAGTCATTTACATTCACTCTGACCTGAGGTCACTGCTTTCGCTGCAACACTACCCTGCGATCAACTCTGAGCGATCCTTTGCTAAGTCCCACTTGGGATTGTAACATACTTTAGAATATTGTTATGAGTTGTCAAAGAGAGTGCGTGAAATAACGAATAACGAAGATGTGACTCAATGAACTAACGGCACGATGAAAGGCACGCGATTATATAGCGGGACAACCTAGCTAGGCGGGAACCTCGGGAAAGTGAGGTTGGGTGACAGGTTGGTCAAGGGAAAGCTGAAGGCGACGCGAGGTTGCTTCGGCAGCAAGCACAGTGGCCGAACGTGCTCTTTTGAACACGGTTGTACGCGGTTGAGTAAACCCCAAAAGGAAAAAGTGTTTCCCTTACAAATATATACACTTTGTTTTACGCCAAAGAAGGTCTACCCGTGGTTGCCAATGGTGGTCTGTTCATGTGACGACAACCTTGACTATGGACTTCATCCAAACAACCTTGTTTTTGGCTACCGTGTCCGTTTCGTGTTCTTCCAGATTCCAAAACCGCACTCAGAAGTCTTTCTGGAGCAGGTTTGCCCTGCTCGTCAGCCATTTGTTTGTAGCATCCCTCTGCCAAGCATTGTCATGGATTTTAGGACTGGTTGATGTCAGCGAGGGGTTCAAGTTTGCAGTCCCTTCATTCCAGGTAAGACAAGCGGACCGTTACGACGAGAAGGCAAAGGCGGTGGTTTTCCTGCCAGCAATGCATGGTGGCTGCAAGAGCCAATCAACTGTTCTCTCGCCACGGGTTACACCCTATTCTCGATAATTGCACACCCCCTACCCCCTATTTCGAAGGAACCCTGCACGTTTTCTGTCTCAATGTGACGGACACCCAAAGATTGACGAGGGTAGTTATCGAGTCTCGCACTTTATTATCCGAGTGAGTAGAAGGGGTGGATGGCTGCCCTTGGAACTCCGGTTTCTTTTCTTCCATTCGCGAGAAGGTTGCGAGACTCCCTCCTCCGATGGTCTACAATCGTTGCTTGCTACCCTACTTAAACGTTTAACCGAGAGTATTTACCCCAGGGTGTGTGCTTAAGGGGTGTGAAATTATCGAGAATAGGGTGTATATTGTTTGCGTGACTTTAGCTCCTCAAATCTAAGGCAGCATGACGTTGGCTAGTCGAAAGTTCCTTGGGCTTTGGTCGCACCCTGGAAACTACCTCAGGGTTTGATCTCGCTCAAAATTCTCGTTGGCGATCGTTGTCACGCGGATGTTTTCCCACAGATAGGGTTGTAAAATTTCCCGGGCAGCTGCTTGCGGAAGCAATTACCGTAGACAATTTCCTCGAGGTTGCGACATTTGAGCTCCGGCTTTACCCGTGAGTACTGCACCCTTGAAGGGCTCGTTAGTTGGCGGTGTTTTTTTCATTCGCGGAAAACGACGAGCAGAGAGAAACGTTGAAGGAACGAAGGAGAGGGCGGGAAGACGAGGTAGGAAATACACCTAACCACCGCTATTTTCAAGGGGAAACCCAACCCACTAATCTCGCGTGTCAAAGTTACCCTGCACGTTTTCGACTATTTCAGCTCGACACTTATTTGACTGGGGCTATGAATTACACCTAATGCTCGAAGTTTAAACTCATTATGCGAATCTGAATCCATAGCGAAATTCTACAGTACTCTCTTCGGGGATATGGAACAGACTCTCGCTAAAATTTAATGATGCCCCACACAACCCTCGGTCAAAGATTTAGAAAGGGTGCATACCCCACTTGTGCAAGTGGGGTTGAAAATAGACCGAAAGAAAATAGCGGTGGTTAGGTGTAAGGGAGAGGAGGAGGGATCTAGGATGCCGCGCCAGTGGCCAGAAACGAGTGCTGCCGGAACCAACTCTTTGCCAGCCGAGCACTCCCTGCCACTCGCGGCATCCTCGGCGTGCATGTGCCCGTTGTGTGCATCACACCCCTGGGACCTTTCCCCGGGAATCGCGCCAGGTCACTCCTTCCCAGCGAGTTGTCAACCCCGATCCGACCCGAAGCTCCTCGTGCGCCACTGGATCACGAACGCAGCCGTCTTTCGAGACTTTCCCCCCTTTCATTCCACCAGCGTCTATGCTGAGGCCGCCTCAGACCTCAGGGTTCATTCCGCTGAGCGGCACCAGCAGACCTCAGGGTTCTCTACTACTAAAGTCATGGCCCTCTGGCAGCTGACTAAATTCGTAGCCGCGTGCACTAACGCTGTGAACCAGAAGTATGATGAGTCATTTCTAGTAGCAGTACAGAGTCGGCCTTTGTCAATCCGAGTATCGAATCGCCCGCCAAGCGACAGCCGACCGAGCCGTGCTGTTCTTTCTCAAAGAGTTCATCAGTCTTTTTCTCATCGGCGATTCCGGCCACGCAGACCTGATAATCGAGTCGTTTTTCTCTTGTAGCTTACGGCGTCTTATTCCTCCTACCGAGCCACACTGAGGTCGATCGAGCTGTTCAATCGGAGCAGAAACGATGAGCTCTAGTCACGTTAGGTTAAGTGGATTCGGAAAAGCAAGTTATGGTGTCAGCGGCACGGACTCTAAAGGGAGGAGCCGACAGCGTGCGACTGGAGCACTTTGGAAACCGGAGGTACGCTCCTGAACGTACTGCGCGTAACCGCTGATGTGATAGTACCCACTCTTACACAATCTTTGACGTGATTATTTTGTTCTCAAATTTAACTCTCAACGTCGCGGCTCGGATGTGTGTGCAGGAAGACAGGATCTTATTGGCCCACGTGGCACGACATGGCACGAAGAAGTGGAGGCTCATCAAGTCCATGGGTCTGCTGCCCACGCGAAACCACAAGGCGTGCTGTAACCGCTTCATCGTTCTTACCAGGTACTCACGGCTGTGCTATTGACTCACGGCTCTGCTCTTGACTCACGGCTCTGCTCTTGACTCACGGCGAGTCCGCGGATTGGCGTGGCTCTGTCGAATCAGTAGGTAATGAGTTGACTCAAGGCGCCGACGCATTGATCTGCGCAGCCTCAATTGGGTTGACTCACTCTCAGGCGCGGAGGGGACTTTTGAGGCGCCTCAAAAGCACTCTCAGTGCGTGGAGGAGAGGAGAGGTGACGGATGACCATTTTTCACATTGTACACGGCTGAATTACGACGCGATAGTTCTACTACTGGAGTGTTGACTTGGCTGAGAGTGCAAGTGCAGCACTCAACCCTTGGACATGTTCAATCTCTTCCTGTACTGCGTCTTTCTACACGTGCAGTGCAGGTAATTGTCGAAGCTGCGTTAGCTCGTACAGGGCAGGTACGTCTGAACCTGGCTGAGAGTTTTGGACTCCGTGCAACCCTCTGACATGCATAATTTCTTCCTGTACTGTGACAATTGTCGAAGCTGCGTCGGCTTACAAAGGGCCGGGACGACGGAACCTGACTGAGGATGTAAGGATGGAGTCGATTAAGTAGAAGCTGAGAAGAAAGTACGCCGAGCAATTCTCCTCTGAGATGTTCCATTTGTTCTTGCACTCTTTTTCTTTCGACTCGTGCAGGCAGGTGAATGTTGAAGCTGCGTCAGCTCGCACGAACCCGTCTGAATTGAACCGGGCTGAGAATGCGCTGTTGGTGACGACGCAGATGCAAGTGCGGCAAGCGAGCAATTCTCTCACATGCCATGTTCTATTTTGTTCTGTTTTTTTTTTCCCGTGATGTCTCTTCGATATGTACAGGAAGTTCTCGAGGCTGCACCAGCTCTCAGAAGCCCCAGACCCGGGTGCAGAGATGGTTTCTGAGGTGCCTAAAGAATCGTCGAGGTTGCATGAGGTCACAGGACTCCCAGGCATGGCGGCCGAGGCGACTATGCCGATGGCGTGGACAAAGGATATGGCGATGCTGAATATGCAGAGGTATTTGAAAGCACGAGCTGACTGCGACCCGCTCAGTTCTTCATCATTCTCCGACTACCAGGACGAAGATGCATGCAGGAGGAGCGCTGCTGAGGAACTGCTGGAATCAGGGTCTGAGGAGCATCGGAATTTATCTGAGGGAGTTGCTGAGGAACTGCTGGAATCACGTTCTGAGGAGCATCAGAATCTTTTTGAAGGAGTTGGTGGGGAGCTGTTTGGACCTGGTTGTGAGGCAGCTCAGAATTCCTGCGAGGAATCTGCTGAGGAACTGCTACTTGAATCAGGTTCTGAGAAGCATCAGAATGTCTACAGAAAAGTTACTGAGGAGCGGTTTGATTTTGCTACACCTGATTCTCAACCTGGAGCACCACCAGTTCCGGCGACCAACAGAGGAAATGTGGAGGAGGAAGAAGAAGCATTGGACTTAGAAACAGATGAAGCAGCAGAGGAGACGATGCTTGGAATCACAAGTCCAGCAGTAGCAGCAGCCGTCACCATTGCGTCTGCTCCCGTATCACCCATTCCTGGTTTTAATCCAATCGAAACGTTCCTGCTGGGTGAACCACCTCAGCAGCAGCAGGTGATTCAGCAGGAAAGGGTTTTCAACGCCTGCAGCAGTATGCAGGGTGTAGCGGATTGGTCAGCTGACCAGGATGTTGCGTGTGCTAACGGAGTCAGTGCGTGTGCTAACGGAGTCAGTGCGTGTGCTAATGGAGTCAGCACGTGTGCTAATGGAGTCAGCACGTGTGCTAATGGAGTCAGCACGTGTGCTAATGGAGTCAGTGCGTGTGCTAATGGAGTCAGCACGTGTGCTAATGGAGTCAGTGCGTGTGCCAACTCTGCTGGCCGGCCTGGCATTGACAACTACCAATGCAGCTGCGTGGATTGGGATGGCACTGCATTTCTTTCTTCCTTGGCTGATTTGCTTCCTCCTGCTGCTGCTCCCGGTGCAGGAGCAGCACAGGAACCGCTTCCTCCTGGCGATGCTCTGCCTCCTGATGTTGTCAATCCTGGCTGTGCCGTCGTGGCATTGGCTGATGGTTCCGATTGGCTCGCTGCTGCTGATAATGCTATTGCATCATTCCTTATCGAGGCTGAGCTAATGAGAATCAATAGAGTTCTGCTGCAGGCAGAATCAGCACCGCACTCCACTCCTCTGTCTTCCTCCCCTAACAGTTCACTAACTGCTATTCAGGACCGAGGCTCCCAAAGGCTCTCATCCCAATCAACCCTGTCAACCCACCCTAACCACTCAGACTTCCATACAAACCCCATGCAGGTTACCATTCCTACTACCACTGAACTACTATCAGCTATGCCGTCTACTGTTTGCATATCAACGCCCTCTCTGCTCTCCCCACTGCCCTCATATGCTGCTGCAACGCCTATTTTCGTCGACCGACCTTTTTCTTCTCCTGCTGCTGCTGCTGCTGCTCCTCCTGCTACTGCTGCCGCGCCTCCTGTTGCTACTTGTACTGTGGGGCCGGCGAGGCGCGTCCCCCTTTCAGAACCCAGGGGCAGCGAGGCTGTGAGCACGGAAGGGTGTCTAAGACCAGACGAGCTCTTTGAAGCATGGTGTAATGGCTCCTTCTCCAGAGTAAGTAATGCCATGCCATTGGCAGCTTATGGCAGCTTATGGCATGGCCTGAGCCTGGCTGTTTGAAATCGGATGAGCTGTTTGAAGCGTGGTGCGACGGGTGGGTCCTTCTCCAGAGTGAGTAGAGACCATGGCATGCTACGGTATGGTTTGAGTATCATCATTCGGCTGTTTGAAGCGTGCTGCAACGGGTCCTTCTCCAGAGTGACTGGTGTGAGTGAGTGCCATGTGATGGCTGGCATGGGATGGCTGGCATGGGATGGATGGCATGGGATGGCTGGCATGGGATGGATGGCATGGGATGGATGACATGGGATGGCTGGCATGGGATGGCTGGCATGTGATTGCTGGCATGGGATGGCTGGCATGGGATGGATGGCATGAGATGGCTGGCATGGGATGGCTGGCATGAAATGGATGGCATGAGATGGCTGGCACGGGATGGCTGGCATGGACATGCCGTTGAATTGAATGACATGTTGATATTCAGTCGTGGCGTACATGTTAATATGTTGTGTGTGGTGATCAGGATGGCGTAAATGATGTTACACGTTGGTGATGGCATTTTGTTTCTTCTTTCTTCTTCCGGGTTTCTTGTGTGTGGCAGGTACTTCATGGCTTCTAGGTGGAATTCTGATGCTCTTGCTGACATGTACAGTTGGATAACTCTTGCTGATACCCTAATACCAGTATTTATGCCCAGGTCAGGGCACTATCTCAAAACCTAACGCAGAGTGATTAGATCTGACCCGAGCCAAGGCTGAGACGAGGATGTGAGGATGTGAGACTACATGCTCGGGGTTGTTCAGCTCAGTGTTACTTTCGCATGAACTTTATTCTCCAATTCAAAGTTTATGTATGGATAAGCATGATGTTCTGTCAAGGGGCGTTGTTGTGTCAAGATAACATACGGTACCTGTTTGCCTTGGGGTATCCTTATCCTAACACCTCAGCTGGTTCCAGTGGCCTGGGTGGGTGGGTGCTGCTACTTGAAAAGATCATAATCATCCCAACCAACCCACCATTTGGCCTCCAAATAATATCCAACCCTCATTGGTACTACCAATATGGTATGATTACGGGTATGTGTTTTCTGAAAAGCTACAGATGGTGGTGAAGGCACCTATCCCCTTGATGTTACAGCATCCCTGGCACAGAAGGGTGCTGTTAACAACCAGACTCCTTTGGCATGATATTGTGGTATGTATGTTGCGTGTGAAGTGTTCCACATTCCACCACTGTAAAGAGAGCTCTTCAAAATGTTGGGCTGAAAAAGGCCCTTAGGATCTTTGCAGGGATGAACTCTGGGTAGGACTGATGTAATAGCGGAAGCTTTAATGAAAAGGTATTTGAACCACCTTGCGCTAGTATGTGAGGGCAAAGTCGATTAATTAAAACAAAGAGATACTGTGAAAGTTTAAAAGGAAGAAGAGGGCGCCATAGCTAGGAAAGCCCTAGCTAGGCAAGAAACAGTTTAGGCAAAGAGGGAGGAGTTGCACTAGCAAGAATGAGGATACAAATAGCAAACCCTAGAAGGGTTGTACTCGCTATAGAGCACCCCACTACAGGCTAGAGCATAATATTCTGACACACCCCCATAGCCAAAGTGGGGTGTAATCAGCAGAGCAAGCAAAGCAGAACAAGCTCAGGGTGGATCACAATGTCACCACACATTCTGAGCACAAGTTCAGGAAGCAATAGTTTAAAGTTCACAATTATGAGCAAAGCTAGTGGTAGTCACAACGGGCAAGTGAGGAGGAGGAGGGACAGTGAGAGGAGAGGAGATAGGAGGCGACGGCTGAAGCTGCAGACACACGGGCAACAGGAGGCACACTGGCACAGCGGCTACCGGAACAGCGCTCCGGACTACTGGAGTAACTGGCCCCGCGGCTAAAAGTAGCGGCAGACAAGCAACGGACCCACGGGCGACTGGCACAGGTGGCTACGACTGGGCTACCGGAGCAACTCCCCGGACTACAGGTGCTGCTGGCGACACGACGGCAACCTCCGTTCAACCTCCCCCAAACAGTACCACCCCCCCTGACACACACCCCCTGCTTCACCCCTAGCTCCACTCCCCCTTCACCCCCCCTTAGTACCACTCCGACGGCTCCAACAGGTCCACCCCCCTTCAGCGGCAGCTGCAGCACAGGGAGACGGAGGAGGAGGAGGAGCAGGGAACGGCACACAGAAGCTGCACCCCCATACCCCCCACCCCCAAACCCTAATCCAGGAGAACGGGCAGAAGGAGGGGTGGGGCGCCTTCAGAAGCACGGGGGACAGCGGGGAGGACAGGGGCAGAGAGGAAAGGGCCGCCCACGGGCCTGGCACAGCCGCCCGAACCGCGCGCAGGCGGCCCGAGCCGCGTGCGGGCCTGGCGCAGCCCGTACGGGCCGCGCGCTGGCCTGGCGCAGCCCGTACGGGCCGCGTCCGGGCCTGGCGCAGCCCTTACGGGCCGCGCGCAGCCTGTACGGGCCGCGCGCAGGCCACGACGGGCGACGGGGGGCGACGCGCGGGTCCCCGTCGCCCGTCGCAGCGCCTCCCGAGGGCGACGCGCCGAGTGACGGGGCAGAAGCCCGCCGCGCGCCTCGGGGCACACAGCGGGCAGAGAACCGCCGCGCGCCACGGGGCGCACGGCGGGCAGAAAACCGCCGCGCGCCTCGGGGCGCACGGCGGGAAGAAAAACTGCCGCACGCCACGGGGCGTGCGGCACAGAGGGTAGCAGTGGAAGTTGCAGCGGAAGCAACGAGGTGGTGATCCCACCCACAGGATCGATCCAAGGGGATCGACATGCTCTGATAGCATGTGAAAGTTTAAAAGGAAGAAGAGGGCGCCATAGCTAGGAAAGCCCTAGCTAGGCAAGAAACAGTTTAGGCAAAGAGGGAGGAGTTGCACTAGCAAGAATGAGGATACAAATAGCAAACCCTAGAAGGGTTGTACTCGCTATAGAGCACCCCACTACAGGCTAGAGCATAATATTCTGACAGATACAAGATTATATAAGAGTACAAGGAATATGAAAGGATACAGTTATAACTGTTTTACTGTTGCTGTTGCGGTTGTCAGACATATATGCTATAGTCTGTGTAGGCTGTAGTGGGGTAGACTATATGGGGTACAACACTTTTAGGTTTTTCTACTTGTACCCACCTGTTTCCTAGTGCATCCACCCCTTGTTCTTTCACATGGTATAGAGCAGGTTCCCTAGTGGGAACGTTTCCTAGGGCCCACCGAAAATTCGAAAGTTTTTTTTCCTGCCCGGAGCGCACTTCACCCGTGCCCGAGTCGCGCCCCGCGTCCCCCGCCCTTAGTGGCCCCTTAGCCGCTCCCTCGCGGCCCCTTTCACGGCCCCTCGCGGCCCCTTAGCCGCTCCCTCGCGGCCCCACTCACGGCCCCTCGCGGCCCCTCTATCACGGCCCCTCGCGGCCCCTTAGCCGCTCCCTCGCGGCCCCTCTCACGGCCCCTCGCGGCCCCTTAGCCGCCCCCTCCGCGGCCGTTCGCGGCCCCTCGCGGCCCCTCTCACGGCCCCTCGCGGCCCCTTAGCCGCTCCCTCGCGGCCCACCTCTCACGGCCCCTCGCGGCCCCTCTCACGGCCCCTCGCGGCCCCTTAGCCGCCCCCTCCGCGGCCGTTCGCGGCCCCTCGCGGCCCCTCGCGGCCCCTCTCGCGGCCCCTCTGCGGCCGTTCGCGGCCCCTCGCGGCCCCTCTCGCGGCCCCCCTCGCGGCCCCTCGTGGCTCGTCGCGCGGCCCCTCCACGGCCGTTCGCGGCCCCTCGCGGCCACTCTCCCGGCCCCTCGCGGCCCTGTCGCGGCCCCTCGTGGCTCGCCGCGGTTCGTCGCGGCCCCACCGCGGCCCCTCTCCAGGCCCCTCGTGGCCCCGTCGCGGCTCCCTCGCGGCCCCGTTGCGGCTCCCGCGTCGTCCCTGCCCGCCGCGGCGCCCTGCCCTAACCCGCGCCCTGGAGCAGCCGCCACTTCAGCCCTGCAGCAGCCGCCCCCTGCAGCAGCCGCGCCGCCCCCTGACCGCCGCGGCGCCCTGCCCTAACCCGCGCCCTGCAGCAGCCGCCCCCTGGAGCAGCTGCCACTGCAGCAGCCGCCCCTGGAGCAGCCGCCACCGCAGCAGCCGCCCCTGGAGCAGCCGCCACTGCAGCAGCCGCCCCTGGAGCAGCCGCCACTGCAGCAGCCGCCCCTGGAGCAGCCGCCACTGCAGCAGCCGCCCCTGGAGCGGCCGCCCCTGTAGCAGCCGCCCCTGGAGCAGCCGCCACTGCAGCAGCCGCCCCTGGAGCAGCCGCCACTGCAGCAGCCGCCCCTGGAGCAGCCGCCCCTGCAGCAGCCGCCCCTGGAGCAGCCGCCACTGCAGCAGCCGCCCCTGGAGCAGCCGCCACTGCAGCAGCCGCCCCTGGAGCAGCCGCCACTGCAGCAGCCGCCCCTGGAGCAGCCGCCCCTGCAACAGCCGCCCCTGGAGCAGCCGCCACTGCAGCAGCCGCCCCTGGAGCAGCCGCCACTGCAGCAACCGCCCCTGGAGCAGCCGCCCCTGCAGGAGCCGCCCCTGGAGCAGCCGCCCCTGCAGCAGCCGCGGAGCCCTCGCCCTGCAGTGGTAGCGGCCTCGCCGTTGCCGCCGTCGTACGCCTGCCCTTCTCGCCACTGGTGAGCACTGCCCTGCCCGTACTGCTGTTACTGCTGCTCTTGCTGCTACTGCTCTTTCTACTGCTACTGCTGCTTCTGGCGTGGCCAGATGCAGCTCCAGCGCCGTCCGCGTGAGTCCCTCGCCCCCCAACAGCTTCGTGAGTGGTACGCTAGTTGGGGTTGTAGGGGTGGCCGCGCTACGACTACTGCTACTGCTTCTACTGCTGCTACTGTGGCTACCACTGCTCCTCTTGCTCCTGGCGGTGGCCAGATGCAGCTCCAGCGACGTCCGCGTGAGTCCCTCACGCCCCAGCAGCTTCGTGAGTGGTACGCTACTTGGGGTTGTCGGGGTGGCCGTAGTGGGAGTCGTTCTGGCGTGAGGAGTTCGGGAGCTACTTGTAGTGGCCAGGTGCAGCTGCAGCGTAGTCCGCCCGCGGTCCTTTCGCCCCAGCAGCTTCGTGAGTGGTACGCTCAGCGTGGAGGGTCACGGAGTTCTGCCCGCTGTCCGTACGTCATTCGCACTGGTGCTCGGACTGGTCAGCCCTGCGGGACGCTTGGTCACGCCAAGTCCCGCTGCTTCGCCCGTCTGAGCGACGTCTGGCGTACGGAGTTTGGCGACGCCGCTGAGCTCCCCGACTGGGTGGAGCTGCTTAGGCAGAGGGTAGATATCTATGCTCTTGACTATGATGCTATCCTCACTGCCATGTATGCATTGCCTACTAGTGATGTGGGTGACTGTTACCTGTGTGTTCCGCCTGACCCGGGCATTGAGGCTGCTGCTCTAGGTGCTGGTGAGGCTGCTGCTCTAGGTGCTAGTGCGTCTGCTCCTCCAGGTGCTGGTGAGTCTGCTGCCCCAGGTGCTGGTGAGTCTGCTTCCCCAGGTGCTGATGAGTCTGCTGCCCCAGGTGCTGGTGAGTCTGCTCTCTCAGGTACCACGTCGTCTCAGGTGTTACGCACCTTCACCCTTGACTCGGGTGCTTCCCGCTCCTTCTTTCGAGACCGCAC